ACGTCTGTTGGTGGAGAAACGCACATCACCAGTCTTTTTGAGGGGTTCGTAAACATTTTTTTCCGTCCTTACTGGCCTCTACAGAGATGCCCCAAATATAAAATCACACTTATCTTCGAAATTAAAAAAAACTTTTTTCCCCAAACAAACCCAGCAGCTTTTCTTTAGGAAACCAACTAAAGTCTATGGTTGTTATTGTGCTTTAAGGACAGATTTCTAATTGTCATAAGATAGAAGGATGAAACACGGGGATGTCACAGAGACCAAAGGCGATACCCAAACATCCCCTTTGGCCAGTCCTGCTCCAGTCATCCCTGGGCCCGAGAGGGGCTGAACCGCACGGCCCGGTGAGATGCGCTGCTCAGCCGTGAGGTCAGGAGGCAGCGCCGCTGGGGACGAGCTGCGCCACACGGCCGTCGCCAGACACCCTCGCAGCCCCACACCGCGCTCCACCTCGCGTCCTCCACAGTGAAAGACTTCGGCCACCCGCAGAAGGGTGGCTGCTTTACCCTAAGGTGCCGTAGAAACCGGGGCACAGAGGAGCAGCGGCCGCTTCCCACCGGCACCCGCCCCGTGGATGGGGGTGCGCGCCGAGCCCTGCGATCCGCACACCCAGGCAGGCTGCCCACTCCAGTCCTGCCTTCTGCCTCACCGATTTTACCAATCCTCGTTGCTTTGATTGGAGTTTAAGCTACACAAAGTCGATTATGTTGAAATGGAACAGAAATACCAAACTGATAATGTTTATAAAAAAGAGGGGGATTTGAAAAGGATTAAGGAAAGCAGAAAACGCATTCTGGGGCTGAGTCCTTGTGGTCAAACCTCCCCCTATGGACCCAAACAGGAGGTGAGGAATTTACCTGGCAGAGAGAGGCCTGCTGGAAATTTAAGTCAAAGCCCCAAACAGCCTCAGATTCTATCAAAAAAGGGCTTATAAATAAATATTTGTTGACCCTAAAAGGAAAAAGTGAAGTAGAAAAACAATTTTCTTATTTTAAAAAAATGCTGAATGCTTCCTGAAGTACCCAAATGAAGTTTATAAAATACTCATGAACTCCTGCACAAATATAGAAATGTTTAAAAATCAGACAGCGGCTCTGCCAAGTGGCGAACCCACAGGGGTGGGCAGAGACTTTGTGCTGGAATCAAACGCAGGCCGCACGTTCCGTGCTTCAAGTGTGTGGAGTGTGCGTGTGACGCCCCGCCTGTGCACGCTGTCACCAGCTGATGAAAAAGGGACGTTAGAAGAGATTGCGATGGAAACTCAAACCAGGACACTGCAACGCCTGGTGCCCACTCGCCCTGTGGGGACCTGACCCAAAGGGAGACCCGCCCGGGACTGGCAGGCAGCTTCCCTCCGAGCACCCAGCACCCAGCATTCCGCACGCCGGGCTCTGGAATCGAGACCCTTCACAGAGAAACAAAATAAAAACGAAACCCCCAGGTCTTCTGGGACTCAGACCCGGAGATGGTGGCTGTCCAGCTGAGTGGGGGAGGGAAACCCAGATGTCACTCGCCAGCAGGGCACATGGCCGCGTGGAGGTGGTGTTGACAGCGGGGACAGGCCTTGTCTCTGGAACCTTCCATCCTAGTCCAGTTTCTTACAGAAAGGCTTCCTCCCAGTGTCCGAGTTTTCAGGGCTGAAGTCAGTACAGAAGCCGTTCGGGGTGGGCGCGGGCGGGGTCTGTGCACGGTGCTGGGGACACGTCTGATCGGGATACAGGTATTCCTCCGCAAAGTCGGGGTACATTTCTGCAAACCTGTCGAAGTCGCCTGGAAGGACAAAGGCACTTTTGGTTACTGGGACCTCGGAGGAACAAACGCCTAGAACTGGGGCTCTTCCCGGGAGCCCCGTGGGCGTCCACCTCACGCCCTGCCGGGGAGGGTCGCAGTCATGTGTGGATGCTTTCGGGGCCGAGGAGAACCCGCACCCTGCTTTCCCTCTGCTGTGAGCAAAATCATCCTGAGAACCGGGAGCGGTTCTCTACCATGTCCTGCTTTTGGGAAACTCCAAGGAAGGCTAACGACTGTGAATTCAGCAGCCAGTCCTGGGTACCGAGCACCTGCGAGGCCCCGTTAGTGGAAGGAGCTGGTTTAGGGACAATAATGTGACACTCTGTGAGGAAGGTGCTCTTGGTCACACGGTTCGGCCCTGGGGAGACCTGGAGGGGCAGAGGGTCTTCCCCACAGCCCCCGCAAGCGTGCATTTCCCGGTTGCTGTGTGTACCCACAGAGGGGTGAAGGCCCCCGCCTTGCACTGAGGGCACCACGGAGAGGTCTCAGGGGACCGAGACAGACTCCGAGCAGCAAACACTCAGAGCCGTGACACCTTGGGAGCCGCAGAAGTCTTTATGGGGAAAGGTGAGCAGTCGGCCAGCACTCACCAGAGAGCAGCAGCCCCCAACAAGTGAAACACACGCCCCAACGAGACGTGTCCCCGAGCACCTCTCCTGCTCAGCTCTGCGGCCTCGTGAAACAAGAGAGTTTTCCTGGGACTCCGGCTCTGCCATCGCCCCGTGGCACGTCCCACCTCCCGCCCCCATGGCCCTGCTGCACTGACTCTCCTGCATGTTTTCTTGTTTGCTCTAAGGCTGTCCGGCAAGGCTGGGACTGCCTCTCCCATTTTAGGAGACAAGGGAAGAGAAGTTCAGAAAATTCCACGGCGAGGACCTGGGGGCCTGGTGAGGACACGGGCTGGAGGCTGAGGCCACTGCGGCCCCAGTGGACACAATGTTGTTCATTCACACTCCAGGGGAGGGAGTCACTTCAGGGTGGGGTTTGCTAACTTCGCATAGCAATTTAAGAATACTGACCCGGCCGTTTCTGGGAATGCAGCCGGGGAAGGGAGCTGATGGCTTGTGCTCCAGAAGGGCAGGCCCTTTACTAGTTACCTAATCAGACATCACTGGAAAGGTGAGTGTCTTGGGAGAAAAGCGTCACGTGCAGCCAACCTGCGATGGTTCTGAGCACCAGCCATGCTGCGCTCTCCAGACAGACTGCTCCCAGGAGAGAGGGGTGACACCCGGAGCCAAGGCTGTCCCCGAGGAGACCCCTGGTGAGTTGGCCTTGGGTGGCCGGGTGTGGATTTCCCCCAACCGCAGCCTCCGTGGGCAGCATCTAGAGTGGGGGCTCTGAGCCAGGCTCAGAGTTTGGTTCTATTTGCTGCCTGCAGAAATCAGCTTCAAACCCTCCCTCCCCTCCCCTGCCTGGTGTCCAGAAGGACCTTCCTTCTGTGGAATTCCTGTGTTGCAGGGGCAGCCTAGTGGACGGAGGTGGGGCAGGGACTCCACTGGTGTCCCCAGTCTCGTGGGCACACCTGCCTTGCACAGCTGAGGCAGGCACACAACGGACCATGCCCAGCTGACACCCCCCACCCCCGGCACTCACCAAATGTGATCCTTCCCTTCTCCTCCCCGTCGATGGCCTGGAAGAGGTCGGCCACAGGAAGCTCCGCCACCCCCAAGGCCGTCCTGAGGATGCAGGACAGGTCGGCCTCATCTATGCTGCTGTCCTCCTGCGACCCGTACATCTGCAAGGCAAGGTGCGGCGTGACCTCGCAGCCTCCCCCTGCTGCCCAGCCGGGCTGCTCCTCATCCCCTGGATGTCCCGGCTTTCCACCTTCACAGAACTCTGGGCACCCTTGGGGCCAGGTTGTGCCTGGTACGAGTGGACGGTGAGCATCAGAGTGGAGCTGCGTCCTAGGCCATCTGACCTCAACTCCCAGCACCCCTGGGTGCCTCGTGGACACTCAGCAAACACCGCTGGGCCCAAGGAGTCAACGCTGTTGATCCCCGCCTGGGAAAACTGACTGAACGACTCAGGCACAGCCAGACAGATGCAGAGACTCGGTGCAACCTGGGGCTGGGCCTTGGGTGTGCCGTGGGGCGAAGCCCAGGTTTCAGGATTTCCTTGACAGCACTTTTGCCTGTGACAGCTGGATCCGACCCTTACAGATGGATAGAAATGTTTCCTGCGGGGAGGGAGACTGTGCTTGGAGCCCAAGGAAGGAGATGAGGGGTTTATGTTGCGGACACAGGGACCCTGGAGTCAGAGCAGGAACAGGACACCACGGTCCACCATTAACCTCACACTCCTACAGGCCTACCTTCCCCTCCTCCTGCTCTGATTCTGGAGGCAGCGGCTCCCTGCCTGCTCGGTGCCTAGACCAGGGCTGCAGGAGGGTCAAGGGCCTGTACCTGCGCCTGCCGGGCGCCTACAAACACTGGGCTCCCAGAGTCTGCAGGGCCCACCCCTCCCCCTTCCGCAGCTCCACACGGACCCCATGAGCCGGGGACCCAGATCCGCCCGCTCAGTGCCCATCTTCCTTCTGCCCCAGTGGAAGCACTTCATGGTCCGTGCTGGAGGCAGCGTGGGCCTTGCAGCTGGGCCCACCCCATCTCTCGAGGCCTGCGGCTACCCCTGGGTGCCCCCATCTACACCTGGCTTCAAAAAGCACCTGTGCCCGCTGACAGCTCCTGCGTCCTCATCTTTGTCCTAGATTTCTCTGCTGCTTTTAGATTTGTCAGATCAAATGTCTGCAGACTAAATCCACCTCGGTGCTGCTGGAACCTCACAGTTAAGCAAAGCCGGACCCAAGCCATGTGGCCTCCCACCAGCCCCCCTCTGGTCCCAACGCCAGCTCCGCCGCGGGCACAGCAGTGCTCCTCCCACCCCACCTAGCGGTCATGCAGTGAATAGCAGCGGCTTCGGGGGACACTGCAAGCTGCTGCAGCACGCGTTTCTGCATTCAGAAAATTACTTAGAAATTTATTAGAAAAAATTATACGAGAAAACGCTGGGAGGCAGGCCTGGGCCCACGCTGGGCAGAGACCTCGGGCTTGCATTTTCCCCCTTTCTGAGCCCGTAGCATTTTTACCACAGGAATAATGATACAAAAGAAAGCAAAATGCGGGACCCCAACAGTGCATTAAAAATGATTTCGAGTTCCCCTGGGAAGTCCCAAGTGCTGGCAGCATCTGTGTTTGGGACCATCAGTGCTATCATAACACAACTTTGTATCTCGACAGTCAGCCCAGGAGGAAATTTGACTGTAAAGCCAGGAAGGCGCGACTATCTCTACATCTAAAGTGCAGCCTGTGATGTGGTCACCCACACACCCTTGATGCGGGGTGCCCCAGGGCCTTCCTGTCACTGGCAAGCCCCACTGGAAGGTGCCGAGGGGCCCAGGGGAGGTGCCCCAGAGGCAGCAGATGAGGACAGTGCAGCATATTTAGCAAACGGAGATGCTGTGAAAGGCGTGGGCTGCAGGCAGGGACATGAGGGAGGCCTGCAGGAAGGTGCGGTACGGCGGGTAACCTGGAGAGTTAGACCCGCCAGCCAGGACCGTGCGGACATCTGCGGGGCACCCACTGCAGCCACTGCAGGCTGACGCAGGGCAGGACCCAGTAGTGCTGTGTGGATTTGGCGCCAGCCGCATCTGCTCCGCTGGTAGCTCCCAGAGGAGATCACACAGCTGTCCCCAAGGTGGCTGCCGAGGAGCAGCATGTGCTGTAACCCACGGCACAAGTCCACCTGAGAAGACCTGCTGGTGACACGCACACCAGCCCGTCTAGGCGCCCTGGGACATGGGAAGCCCTCTTCCTGCCTTTCCTGTGGGTGTGGATTGCTTACTCTGGGAGAAAACAGTCAAGGGTTTTTTGGGAATTTTACAATGGCTAGCACAAACTTCTGTAAAAATAGCAGTTAGGCAAATAATAAATTTGCCAATATGATAACGGACGATAAACTATGTCACAAGACCATGCTCAGGTCCCTACACATCAGATGCACGTAGAATCTGTACTTGCCTTGAACGCCAGCTGTATGGTGTCCAGGGTCTGGGAAGGCCTGCAGACGACGGACAAGGCGACCACGTACTCCCGCAGGTCCATCTCGCCGCCCCCGCCCTGTGGGAGAGACGGGCTTGGGTGACGGCTCAGCCCCCGGGCACACGAGTAGAACCAGTGTTTCTCACGGTCCCAGTGCCAGTCCCAGTCTGGCTGACACCACCAGCCCCAAAAGAAGGGCGTTTTGCAAGAACATCCCTAACCAGCTGGGTTCTCCTGGGTAACTGCACTGTGTACACTTCCTTAGGCCATTACAATTCACTGTCAAACCCTATGGAACTGCTCCATGAAGTGGTCTCAGCAAAGCACATGTGAAATAAGGACTGTCACCTGCCAAGACTCACATTTTAGGGAAAAAACCCAGCAAACACCAACGCTCATTTTAGCCTCTGAGAATTCACTCTCTTTAGGACAAAATAAGTGGATCTCGAGCCAGCAACGCGGCGTCGACGCGAGCACCAGGTCACTGGAATTCAGCCTGTGCCCCGCACAGACTGAGTCAGCACACACGCTTGTCTCCACGGGACTGTCAGCTGCTCTGGGTGAGCAGGTGGACGCAGAGAGAGGGGCGAGCTGGGTGCCCACGGGGACACTGGGGACCCTCTTCTGATGAGGAAGAAAACGGTCTGGACATGACTGAAGGGCACACCTCGGTTGGAGGAAAGGACCTCCTGAGCCACGTGAGGTGACGAGGAGATGAGCAGGAAGCAGAGGCAGAGGGGGGACTCCCTGGTCAGCAGCAGGGGGAGGACGTTGAGGAGGACCTGGGGGCAGAGGGAGCACCTCCCACCCCTGTGTAGACCATAGGCTGCAGGTCTCAGAGGCGAGGCACAAACGTCCCTGGTGTACTGTGAGAGAGAATGACAGCGTCTTTTGCAGGAGCCCCAGACCCGGCTCTCGCTGCATGAGGCCCAGGACGGTGGTCTCGGGAGGTGGGGCTCCAGGCAGGTGGGCTTCACATCAGACCCAGCACCTGCGCATCACGGTCTGAGCTCCTGTGTGTGAAGCCGAGACTACTCCCACCTCACAAGAACACTGTGCATTTGAAATAGTGGATATCGGAAAACGAAGAAGCCGCTCGCTGCCGTAGTGACCTCACACTGTTAGACGCTGAGCCAGTACTTTGCTGTTTCCTGTTCCACACCCAGCACTGTTGGAAGCACCGAGAACACAGCCACAGCTGTGGCTCTGACAGCAGCAGACACTTGCACGCAGGTGCGGCGACCTCTGCCTTTCTACCAGAGGGGCTGCTGCCGGAGCTTCGTCGTGCTGCGAGGTGGAAGAACATGCTGGATCACACGCCGTGTTGCTTCGCCGGCGGACAGAAGAGCAGGGACTGACACGATCCACAAACTCCCAGAGGCGCCTTCCTGTGTCCACGCCACACACTTGCTCCCCTCGGTTCAACCGAAGGCCGTGCTGCGGCTGCTCGGTGTCATTCACGTGCAGCACACCATGTTGTCACACAGAACGTGCCGTGTCGCCACACAGAACACACCGTTCTGAGGGGGGCCTCAGCACTTACCCTGTCCTGTGACGAGTGTTGACAGCACAAGTGTCAGTAATGTGACACAAACACCCAGAAAAGACCAGGCCTGGCAGATTTCTGGGTAAGCGTGGCCTCCTGCCCTCCTGCATGCAAGGTCCCATGCCTTCCCAAACCTGTACGGCCACCCCACATGTTCAGCGCCACAATAGCGCGAACGTCGACACCTCACTCAGCTACGATGTGTGACCTAATGATGACGTGCAGGGCGTGGGACAGCTGTCGTACCAGGAAGACACCCTCACTCGGTGACAGAAGGCTGCTGGAGAACCTCTAAACCGGTCATCGAGAATGAGGCACATTATTCAGAAACTCTGCCGTGGCCAACAGGAGCTCCGGCGGAGCTGGCTAGTGGAAGTTCCGGAGAAGGGAGCCCCGGAGAGCACGGGCTGGGCGTTGCCGTCAGTAGGCCTCTTAGTGAGCTGATTTACAAAACCCCAAAACCACAGGCACGTTTATCAGCAAAGGATAACTTAGAAGTCAAATTTCTACATGCATTTAAAAGCATGGAAGGACATCACTGGGTGGGCTAATAAGGGGTGGTTTCCTTTTACTGCTTTCAAAATTGTCTAAAATATGTTTATATTATAATAAGAACAACTTATGTTTTGAAAAGTCAGAGGTTTCCCTTCCAAGATTCCCCCCTCCCCAGGTGACAGTCCCTACCTCATCGAACAGTGAAAACATGTCTTCGAGCACGCTAGAGACGGGGACCTCCAGGTACGCTGCAAACTCTGGAAGACCAATCTTTTCTCCCCTCTTCACCTTAGCACTTTCTGAATATTTGTCCAGATCTTTTTCAAGTTTTTCCGGTTTCAGCCTAAACAAAAAGAAGAGGGAAAAGTTTCTTTGTCAATAAAATTACTGAATGCTAAAAACAGGAGACTCACTGTTACAAGACTCATCACAGTATTAAAGTTGTTTATATCATAAGCAAGTTAGTTCTCAAGCAAAGGCATTCTAGTAATTTGGAGGGTGTGTAATGCATCTTGCCTGAGGGTCTAGGCAGGTGGTTGTGGACACCCCCTTCGGTGGCACCCGAGCAGATGGCTGGTGCCAAGCATCAGGGGTATTTCAGACACTTCTGTGTGGATTGAAATTGATATTTGAAACCAAACCAAACCAAACCGGAATAAGCATTATTAAGAATCATTTCCTGAATCACTAGCCCTGTGGCCTCACGTGGCTCCAGCTGGACCTGTTACTCAAGTAGCACCAGGGGACTCACCCGAGGCCCCGCACGAGCCGGGCAAATTCCAAAAGGCAAGTGTCGGCAGGGAGGCGGAGCTGTCCCTCCGCCAGGGCAAGCTGGCAGTCTTCAAATGTGTAGTCAGTCACGGAGACGCCCAAGGCCCTATGCAAGAGAGGAGGGCACCCGTGTCAGCCTGTCCCCACAGCAGCCTGTCCCCGCCATCCCCTCAGAGTAACGGGGTCAAGGGGCCACCAGGGCCTGGGGCATCTGAGGGCCTCCAGGGTAAATTGTCTTCTGAGGGCTCACCGGGAGTGATCTTCATGGTCTACACAGAAGGGGGTGACCGCTAACTACCTGCCAGAAGAAAAGCTCAGGGTGACAGAAGTCAGCAAGGGCCTCAACGACGTGGGCACCCGCCTCACAGGGCACTGGTTCCCTGTGGGTCTCTCCTGAATCAGCTCTGATAGAAACACAGGCGGTGGTGCCCTGTGACAACACATCGCACATCTTGCTCTGAGACCACCAGGCATCGACTCCAATGTCCTCTGCCCACGAGAACGTGCCTGTCCTGCCAGGTGTCTCCTCCCCCAGTGGGATCAAGGCAGCACAGCTTTATCTGCACAAGCAGTGATGCTTTCGCCGAGGTCTCAGTGTGTTTATTTTGTAGCCTATGCAAAATGTTATTCTTAAGTTAAAGATTAAAAAAGAAATATCTATAAATGCAGGCAGAGGCCACGGTGACAGAGGAAGTCATGAACAGAACAGGTGTCCAAGGACAGCGGCCGCCCCGGCTGCTAGAGAATGGGCCGACTTGGCGTGGGAAAGCCCCGGGGTGAGCCCCACCAGCCCTCGACTCCGAAAGAGCGGGAGGGAGCAGAGTCCGTCGTCCAAGTGTCAGAGAAACTAACACAAAGACCTTTAAGCACGGGCTGGAAGCACAGCGTGTGTGCAGACACGTGGCCAGCAGCAAGTCCTTGTATGTCCCGACTTCTGGGTGTGCCACCAGCCGGGGACCGGCACTCTGCCCTTCTCCCTTCCACTGGCACCTCAAAGGCAACTTCTAGCAATTCCAACAGCAAAAGTTACAGGTGGTAGAGGAAGCTCACGTCTATTCAAACGAAGCTGGGAAAAGCTGATGAAAAGAACTTGCTGGAAACATGGGCTTAAATCTCCCTTTCACACTCCCCCGGGTCTAGGGACATGTGCAGCCCCCTCCTCTTTACATGGGCTGGACTCGGGGACCAGTGTCAGTCTCAGCTTCCCTGAGCTATTCAGCCAGTGGCTGACAGACAGGAAAAGCCTCTTCCCTCTCCGGTGGAAGCAGAGGATGGGGCCTTGTGGCCTGCCCCCTCCTGCGGTCCCCATGTCAATGGGGCCTCCTCCTGCTCCTCACTGGCACCGGGAACCCAGAGGAGGGTGCGAGTGGGAGATACAGCACCTGAGCCTGCCACCCGTGCACCCGGGCACCTTTCCCAGAGCCCTGGGGGGACGGGGCCCTGGGCGTGAGCCCACACACACAAGCCTTCAACCACAGCACGGGGTGGTGGGTACCCCGGACAGAAGAGCAATGTGCAAAGTCCATATTTAGCACTAAACAGATGCTTAATAACTGATTCCAAATTTCAATGACTTTGAACACGGGGCTGCCCCAAGCTCCGCAGTTAGCGCGGCGTTATTGTGGTTTCCGTCCCACTAAACACGCACGCGTGTGGTGTCTGTAGTCACTCATTTGGTTTTATCCTGTGTCCACATCTATGCTGAAAATCAGCGCATCACGCTGTAAAATCCTGGGAGAGGTGAGGGCGTCTTAAAGAGAAGACACCCCCACAGGGGCGATGGGTGGGGAATCCCGACCCATCTCCATGGTGACTGGGGTCGTTCCTATCACGTTTCTGTCTTCAGCGCTGCCCTGAAGTCAAGACTGAGCCATCCTGCAGAGCTGCATCAGGTCTCAAGAAAAATAACCTTTCTTGACTATTAAAGAAAACACACTCATGGTAGAAAACGTGCCAAATATAGGAAACAAAACAACCCCCCCCACCCCCCAGAATCTCCATAACTGAACGGGGCTGTTAATAATTTCACAAGAGCTCCTAGTGCCCTGGCAACACTGTGTGCAATCACGCCATAAGCAAACTGCCTTTCAAATCTTTACTTGATGGCTGTTAAAACTCCCTTGGCCAGCACGACCACTGTGGGGGAGCAGCCCCTCAGGTGACCCCCAGGAAAAAGGGACAGGTCCAGCTGAGGGCCACCCAAGAGCTCTCCTGGCTCCTCCCAGGTATGATCTCAGGTGGGGCTGGGGACCAGGGAGGCCCTTCCAGGGCACCTGGCTGGGGCCCATCCCTGCCTCGCCCACCCGGCCCATGCTGGTGCGGCCCCTCCCGACCGTTCTCCCAGCCAGCACGGGAGGCGTGGGTTAGTGACCACAGCAGACCCTCCAGCGGCCCTGATGTGATGACAGAATATGGTTCTCAAGGAATTGTAGTAGGATTTTTAAGAGCATTCAGAATTGCCACAAAGGAAATGACAGCACTCTCCAATAACCCTGAAAATATGTGTGAGTTCCTCAAAATGTGTTTTAAACAGGTGGCTCTAAAATAATCAGTGAGGCCCATGAGCCATCTCCCACTGAGTTTTGTAAAGTCTGTCCCCTTCCTCTCACGTCCCCAAACATGGATGGCACCACAGCGGAAGCCCTGAGTGTGGGTTTGGTGGAAGTGTGAGTGCGCCTGCCCTGCCTGTGCCCGCCCTGCCTGGCGCCTACTCCCGCTGGGTGTTCGTGTTTGCTTGGAGCTGTCTGTGCTGGAGGCTGCGTGGGCCTGTGGGGCACAGAGACTGTGTGCACCCATCTCTGCCCTCTGCATGTGCCCGGGAGGGAGAGGGCGTGGGTCCAGGGAAGAGAGCGACCCAGACTGAATTTGGGAACTTGAGCTGAGTGTGCACAAGGTGACTCAGGAGTCAGGCAGGGTCACCAGCACGTGCTGAAGCCTGCCAGCCTGTGTCATCATCTCTTGGAACTTGCCTCTGGAGAGGCACATCCCCAGCCCGCCCAGAACTGCTGCATCGGGGACTTCAGGGTGGGGCCGGCAGCCCCGGGTGGAAGAGGCTTCCCGATGCTTCCCTGCAGCCTGGGGTTGAGTGCCCTGCAGAGGAGGACCTCAGCTCCACCTGATGAGAGCTTTGCAGGGGAGCAGCAGGACGGGCGCCCAGGTGGGGCTGGCAGGTGGGGGATGACCGCTCTGGCCGTGGCAGTGAGGGGGACAGAATGCTCATTTCAAGGATGTGTGTCTGGGGACACAGAGGGATGAAAGATGGTCAGAGAGGGAGGGAAGTGAGCTGACGCCCGCCGTCCACACAAGCGGGGGCTGCATGTGAATGGGCAGTGGGGGTCTCCCCCGTACTCCCAACTGCATGCGCAGAAGTCAGAGAAGTAGCTCAAGTTATCTCGCAGGATGAAGTGTGCAGTACCACGCTCAGCCCAGCAAGATGCAGCAAGGCCGCTGGTCAACACCGCAGGGCCGATGAACACGTCACGCTGCGAGGGTCCTCCTCCTGGGTCCTAAAGCTGCCCAGGCCAGCTCTCTGCACAGAGAGCACGGCACCTGGGTGACTGATGGCTGTGCGTGTTTGAAACTTGTGAACGAAGCAGTGTTCAGCCATTCCCAAGTTCTGGACACATCATAACGTCATCAGACAAACACGGGACCTAAAGCATAAGGTCAAGCACACTCTTGCCGATGTGGACAGTGCCCATTCATTCCCTTCTGCAGAAACCCTAAGGCTCCTGGGCATTTTTACAGTAATGCTGTAAGAGACGCCCCCCCTCAGGGAGGGGAGAGAAGATGTCACTCACTCTGCCATGACACACCGCACGTTGCTGGCGTACAGCGCGGGGTTCCTCTTCTCCTCCTCGGACGGGCTGTACACAGGCAGGAACTGCACACACAGAGAAGCTGCGTCACTCCACGGATGTCACAGGACACGGCCCTCACCAGCGCCCTGCAGAGGACCACTGTGAGGCTCTGCCGACATAGTGTCCATCAGAGCCGCCTTCGAAGCAAGCACACACACACACACACACACACACACACCCACAGTGCGTGCACCGCACACACAGACGC